TGGGAGAGGGAGAAGCAGGCTTCCTGCGGAGCAGGGAGCCCGATGTGGGGCTCGATCCCAGGACCCTGGGATCATGACCTGAGCCAAAGGCAGACACTTAGTGACTGAGCCACCCAGGCGCCCCTGTTATGTTATTTCTGAGTATGTTATTCTTTCCGATGTTATTGTGAATGCAATTATTTTCTTAATTTCCTTTTCAGATTGCTTATTGTTAGTGGATAGAAATGCAACTGATTTTTGCATGCTGACTTTGTATCCTTATACTTTTTGAGTACATTATTAGCTCTAATAATTTTTGTGTGGAATCGTTAGGATTTTCTAATTATAAGGTTTTATCATCTGTGAACAGGGATAATTTTATTACTTCTTTTCCAATTTGGATGCCTTTTATTTCTTTTCTTGCTTAACTGCATTGGCTAGGACATCCACTACTATGTTGAGTAGAAGTGGAGAAAGTGGGCACCCTTGCCTTGTTCCTTGTCTTACTGGAAAAGCTTTCAGTCTTTTACAAATGAGTATGATGTTCACTATGGGTTTTTTATATGTGGCTTTTATTATGTTAAAGTTGTTTTATTCTATTCCCAGTTTGTTAAGTGTTTTTGTCATGAAAGGGTCAAATAGAATTTTAAGAATTAAAGTTTATAATTATTCAAATAAAAACCCAAGGAATGACTTAAATAGTAAACTAGACATAGTTGAAAAAAGTTAGTAAATTAGTGAGGAAAATTGAATAAATCATTCAGGATTCAGCATGGGGAAATAGTAAGTATAAAATAGAGGCAAAGAGATATGGATGATTCAACATATTTTTAATAGGGGTTCTAATTAGGAATAATGACAAAAAATGGTGGGAAGCCAATATTCCATGAGCTACTGGTTGAACATTTTTCAGAATTAGCATAAAACCTCAGATTAAAGAAGTGTACTATGTCCCAAACAGGAAAAATAAAGAAAACACACACACACACACACACACACACGTAAAAGGGCAGAACCTAGAACAATGTGAATGTCTTAAAAGACACGAGAGATAAGACAGGTTTCTGGGGCACCTGGGTGGCTCAGACGGTTAAGCGTCTGCCTTCGGCTCAAGTCATGATCCCAGGGTCCCGGGATCCAGCCCGGCCAGCTCCTGGCTCAGTGGGGAGCCTGCTTCTCCATCTTCTTCTGCCTCTCCCCCTGCTCATGCTCTCTCTCTCTGTATCTCTGTGTCTCAAATGAATAAATAAAATCTTTAAAAAAAAAAAAAGGTTTCTAACAAAATCATGAAAAGCAGCCTGACAGAACTTTTTATCAGTATATGAAAGCCAGAAGACTATGGAAAAATGTCTAATAATTGTCAATCTGTAATTCTATACACAGCTAATCTGTCATTTCAAACTAAGGGTGAAATTAAGACAATTCTACATATACAAAGTGTCTTACTTTCATAAGGCTGCCATAACAAAGTACTATAAACTGCGTAGCTTAGAACAACAGAAATTTATTTTCTCACAGTTTTAGAGGCTAGAAGACCAAAATCAAGATGTTGACATTGTCATTGTCCCTCTAAAAGCTAGAGAGGGTTTCTTGCCTTTTTCAGTTTCTGATAGCCAGAAGGATAACTACAATCTTCACATGGCATTCTTCTGTTTCTTCACATAGTCCTCTTTCTGTGAATGTCTATCTCTAAGTCTAAATTTCCCCTTTTTTATAAGGACACCAGTCATTATTGTGCTATGGTATGTTTGTGTACCCCCAAAATTCATATGTTGAAATCTTAACCCACAAACACGATGGCATTAGCAAGTGGGGCCTTTGGGAAGTGCTTAAGTCTTGAGAATGGAACCCTTACGAATGGGAGTCATGTTCTTATAAAAGAGACCCCACAGAGGTCTTCCACTCTTTCTTGTGAGAACACAGCAAGAGGTCAGAAGTCTGCAACCCAGAATATGGCCCTCATTCAACCATGCTAGCACCCTGATCTTGAACTTCCAGTCTCCAGAACTATGAGAAATAAAAGTTTGCTGTTTATAAGCCATCTAGTCTGTGGTATTTTGTTATAGCAGCCTGAAGGACTAAGACATATTGGATTAGGGCAACCGCAACAACCTTATTTTATTTATTTATTTATTTATTTTTTAAGATTTTATTTATTTATTTTGAGAAAGAGAGCACATGACAGGGGGGAGGGTCAGAGGGAGAAGCAGACTCCCTGCCGAGCAGGAAGCCCGATGCGGGACTCGATCCCGGGACTCCAGGATCATGACCTGAGCCGAAGGCAGTCGCTTAACCAACTGAGCCACCCAGGAGCCCCGCAACAACCTTATTTTAACTTGATTACCACTGTAAAGACTTGATTTCCAAATAGATGACATTTGGATGTACTTCAACTCATCTTTTTTGGGGGGGACACAATCAAACCTATCATACAAGGCTAAGAGTTTACTCTCCAAGACTCTTCCTGAAAGAATCTACTAAAAGACTTACTTCATCAACAAGGAAATTAAACTCAGGAGGAAGGAGTGGTATGCAAAAAGGAACAATGGCCAGAAAAATTGAGAGAAGATTCTTTCTTAAGGTCCCACTGCTTTTAAGTAGTGCAGGCAGTATTTGAACCCAGGTTGTCTGACACCTTAGCCTATGCTTCTAACTTTGACATTACATACTCCTCTATGAGGAGTGTTTTAAAATCCCATGAGGTAATGTACAGGTAAGTGTCTGAGACTTTCTTTGAATTTTAATTTTTAGTCATTATTAATTAACTATCTATAACGAAGTTCTAAGAAGGTCCCAGAATAGAATTAGGCCTTTCTTTTCTTTACCAGATTAGAGAAAAATGGCTAGTTTTCTTCTGTAGAATTTATTCTTACTGAGTGTTTATTTTGTATTTCTTCTTTGTGAGGCACTGTAATCAGTGTTTTGGGTATAAGTGGGAGAACCATTATTCCATAGTTCTTGATTTCAAGGAGCTTAGAGTTTAATAAGAATTTTTTTTTTTGGTAGGAGATCCTGGGTGGCTCAGTTGATTAAGCGTCTGCCTTTGGCTCAGGTCTTGATCCCAGGGTCCTGGGACAGAGTTCCACATAGGGCTCCTTCCTCAGCAAGTAGTCTGCTTCTTCCTCTGCCTGACAATCCCCCTGCTTGTGCTCTCTATCTCTCTCTGAAAAATAAATAAATAATATCTAAAAAAAAAGAAAAAGTTTTCTTTTTTTTAAGGTAGGAAGTATCATGTACCTCAGAAAGGAACAGATGTAGTCTTGAAGAGAGTTCAGAGGAAAGATTATTTTTGGTCTGTGTGATGAATGATACAAAAAGGCAAAAAAAAAAAAAAAAAAAAGATAATGGGAGAGGTGGCCTGCTTCCTAGACCTTGAAAGACAAACATAATAATGCTAACTACATCAACTTAACTGTAACTATTGAGTACCTACTGTGAGCATGGTGCTATGCTTGGAGCTTTTCCCAGTCTTAGTCCCTAAAATAACTGTATGAGGTCAATATTGTTACTCTCAAATTAAATAAGGACACAAACTCTACTGTCACACAGCTACTGAAGTGGAACCAGACAGACCTAGGCAAGAGCAAACACTGAATCCAGAGCTAGCTGGATCCAAATTCCCTGCCTTTCCCCCTCTCTCCCAAGTTTTTAGAGTCCGTAAAACATCCATTTCTTCCGTTTCTAAAAGTCTAATTACTATTCATCTTCTGGTTGAAATGTAGTCTGGAGGTGGACTTGCATCAGGTCATAAAGGGAGTTTGAGAAAACACAAACTTCCAGGCCCCAATTTCAGATATTTTTAAGTAATTAACTCTGGGATGAGGACCAGAGACTCTATACTATTATTTTTTAAAATATTTATTAGAGAGAGAAAGCATGAGCGCAGGGGGAGGGGCAGAGGGAGAACCCAAAGCAGACGCCCTGCTCAGCGTGGAGCCCAGCGCAGGGCTCAATCTCAAGACCCCAGAGATCACCACCCAAGCAGAAATCAAGAGTCAGGACCTTCAAGCGACTGCACCACCCATACACCCCAGAGAATCTGTATTCTTTCAGCAAATTTATTTGGCTTCTCTTGAGAACCACTGTGTCTAGAAGGTCTTCCAGAAGATTTCAGTAGAAATAAATTCTTTGGAAGAACACTTCTACTAAAACTGCTGGACTTCTCCATACTGGCATGCCTGAGGCTTAGGTTGATTCTTCTACTTCCCCGACAGCACAGGGACTAGTTGAAGTAATGAATGCCTGAAGAAGTTTTGGCCTGATCTACTTACAACTCTAGTCACCAAGCACTAACTAAGCTACTTGTCAAAGCGCTTAAAACCACACTGAGAATCTGCGTGTCAAGCCTGATAAATCACATGGGGAAAACGTAATCTGTATTCGTAACATTTCTAGAAGCCGGGCTAGTCCGACTCGTGCGCAGGCGCAGAAGGAAAGGGACAGTCGAACCGCCAAGGCTTGCCCCTCCTCCATCCTCTTTCTGGCTTTATCGTACTGCGCAGGCGCACTGAGTGAACCAAGATGGCGGCTCCCGTGGATCTGGAGTTGAAGAAGGTAAAAGAGGGTCCTGACCTGCCTCAGGCTTCTCTTTGGGAAGCTAAGGGGATATATCAAATGGTGCTCGAGTCCTGAGGAAGGCAAGAGGCCCCAGGGAACTGGGGAGTGATTTCCCAGAGTCCTGAGGCGGGACCAGGTCTTCTTAGGTTGGCGTGGGGGGCGAGCAACTCTTTCTGGGTAAGAGCCGGTTGGGCTGGTCTGGTTGTCTCGCGGGCCGATAGCTGGCCTGTTCTCTCGTTCCGAGCTCCAGAGCCGTTTCGTTGTGTGGAGGCTTCAGTTCTATAGTAAGGCCTGAAGTAAGCGTTTCAAATTGGAGACCCTTCGGACCGCTTGCCTGAGCTGAGGCATCTGTAATTCTAAATCCTCATTTGCTTTAAAAATTCCCAAGTCCACTCTGTGTTTTTAGGCCACTTACTTGATCCTGTAACGTGAAAGGTCGCAGTATCTACATACAGGTCAGAGTTAGAGAGTCTCATAGCAATGTTAATATCAGAGCTTTAACTCCCAGCCCTACTCCCCTTCCCCTTTTCTTGAAGGACTTGTCAAAAAAAGAAACAGGTCCGTAAAATTTTCCAAATTTAATCTGTATCAGAAGGAATTGGGCTCCTCTCTTCAAACAGTTGCTTATAAATGTGTTTAGTCAAAAGCGTTTTCGCCATCTAAGGGTTGTCAGGGAAAGGATCCTGGACTTCATCTACTTTAAACCTGTACTTTTTCTAGAAAAGGAAACTGAGTTCCAGAAAAGATTTAGTCAAAAGTTGGGACTAGAATCCACTGTTCTTACTTTACTCCACACCTTTTGATTATTTAGGTTCTTCAGAAGAGCAAATTTTGCGTCTTAATATTTCTTCTGGTCAACCTTTGCATATGAAATAGGACAGCTGGGCTAGTTGTTGCTCCTAATAAATGAAGCTGTTTGTTATTACCCGGAGGATATATGTGTATGTAACTTGCTTTTTGTCTTCTTTTGAAACTTGTAAATTTAGTCTTTAACGTGGTGTTCTCTAATGCTGTAATATCTCAGCTTGAACAATTACCAGCTTCCTTAGCAAAGTGTGTACAGAACAGTCAGGTAATTTTACATGCAAAACAAAATTCATTTTAAGAATTCTTAACGAATTCTAAAAATTTACCTTTTTTTTTCTGTTAAGAGTTCAAATGTAAGTCGGGGTTTAGTGAAAGAGTAAACAGTTGAGTACAGCTGTGAGTAGTCTTAGCTCCCAGTATTTGAATTCGTTAAGAAACCCCTGGGCAATGAATGCAAACTAAGAAAATGATTGGAGACTTAAATTGGGTAGTTTTGAGAGCTAATTAAATTAACTAAAAAAAACTTGTTTAAAGGTTTTATCTTCTAATATCTTTATAAGGTCTTTGTTGTTGTTGGAAACTAATAGGAAGTTTCAGGCACCTCCCTCCCCAAATGAGTCTTTGGAAACCTACTAGTAGGGGAGAACAAAGTCAGAAAAAAGTTTAGTAGCCTTTGCCTTGTATTGTTGCAGTCACAGATGTTATTATTATGGAATAAATTTGACAGCATCTGAAAGTCATTCCAGGCACTTAAACAAGAGTATCCAAGAACTGTGTTTAAGTGTACATGAGGGTCAAATTTGGCTTGGTATGTGGATATGAATATCATGATGCAGTTCTTCTACCAATGCTTTGAATTTTTTTTGTTAGTTTTTTATCTTTATCTCAAAAATATTTGTATTCTGAATATTACTGTAGACAGTAGAATAGAAACATTCCTGAACTAGGGGTCAGAAGAAATGGATTTAAGTGCCTGCCTTACCACCTAATAGTTGTTCAACCCTGTGCAAGCCACTTTTATCTCTTCAACAAATTTAGTTACTTTAACTTGTAAAGAGTGATGATGAAACTGCCATCCCTAACTCATAGGATTATTGAGAAGAGTAAATGAGATACTATATTCTTCAATGTTCTCATATTAATATTCCCTTGTTAGTATTTCAGACAAATGTGAGAAAGTGTTTTGAAATCTAGTCATGTAACACAAATGAAGTGAGTCGTATTTGTGGTTCTTGTTTTGAATCTCTGGATTTCATCCTCTGACTCTTGCATTTATTGTTTTTATTACTGCTTGGATACCTGCTTTTTCATAAGGTTATTTAATGTGCATTTGTTCTGCTTCAAATAGACTGCATCTTCTGAGGACAGGATAAGTTTATTATTTAGTATGGTGGCTTGATTGTTTACAATTATATTGACTTTTACTGATGTTTGTGTTGGTAAATTTAACAGCTTTGTCTCTGGTTAATATGCTTTATTTTAATGTGTTTGGATTTGACTTAAGTGTTTCCTGTAAAATGTTTCACCCACTAAATCAAGGACTTGTTTTTATTAGGCCTTCACAGAGCTTCAAGCCAAAGTTATTGACACTCAACAGAAGGTGAAGCTTGCAGACATACAGATTGAACAGCTAAACAGAACGAAAAAGCACGCACATCTTACAGATACAGAGATTATGACTTTGGTAGATGAGACTCACATGTATGAAGGTGTAGGAAGAATGTAAGTAAAATATATCCTTAAGGGGGTTATTGTGGGAGAGTTTTTGTCTAGAGTTTGTTCATTTTAAAACTTGGGTTAAAGTATCATAGTAGTTTTGAGGATCATCGCGTCAAAAAAAATGCTAACTGAACCCCAGAGAGATGTGTTTAATATTAGACTTTGAAGTACATTTCTTAAATATTTTCCTGTTCTTCTCTCTATGATCAGGTAGGTACTTAAGTGTATAACTTCAATGACAAAAATATGATTTGTCATGAAAAGATGTTTATAGTAATTTTGTGTGTGAAGATTTATTTAAGTAGTTGTAGTTTTAACTTTCCCTATGCTACCTGATTTATTAGGAATCATACAAATCCTAGGTCTTTTAGATGTTTGTCCAGTTTTGTAAAATAAAAATAGATTCATTTATCATTTAAATAAACTCATCCTATCATACGTGAGAAATCAAGTAAACCAATTTGCCCTTTGTTCTAATTGTTATATTATTAACCACCCACACTGCACTTTTCTTCTTTTAAGAAATACATTACCCTTGTGAGGGAGAATAGATCTGCTTCGCCTTCTCTAAGCAGTAAATAAGGAATGGAAAAGCCCTTAACTACAGGTCACATTCCATTACAATGAGCTAAAAGGAGAAGACTGATTTTTTTTTTTTTTAAGTGGGGGAGGTACAAGAGGAGGGTTTTTCTGGAATTTGGTCTTTGAATATTATTTAGTAAGTGGACCGTTACTTCAAGTTTGGAGATCTTTTAGTTGAGTGGAATTTGACCTCGGTCTTAGGATGACTTGTTTTGTGATTGATTTGAAGGAAGCGTAACATGTGTAACATTTAGTAATGGCTTTGGAATGACATCATGAGAAGTGGGCCCTGCTCATGACTAGCTACTCCATTTCTTTCTGGAAAAGAGATTATGATAAACATGTGATTTGCTTTCTCAGAATAAACAATATATCACAAATAAATTTTATCTCTGTAGTTCATATTTTTCATTTTAGCTTATTTTTAGAGGAAGAGAATCCCACTTTGAGGGTTTGCTTACTGGGACATGAAAGAATTGGAATGATAACAAAATAGAAACCTTGAATATCTGTCTGTGTAGTATGAGGTGCATTGTTGGCATTCACTGCAGGGTAGTTTTATCCTTAATGTGAATATCCTTAGGTATTAAAACAGTAATGTTAGCTTTCCTAACATGTTTGTAACATGTTGCACCTGGATTTCATGTCACAGCATTAGCTTTTGCAACAGTTAAAGAATCTCTTTTTCCAAAAATAGAAAAACTCTTGACTGTCTTTGGCCTTTTGAGCTATAATGAAGTTTTTAGTTTTAATCAGAATAATTTAATTTATTAAACATAGTGCATAAGTGGGGTAGTTGCCTTTTTTGCATACTGCCCTAAGTGCTACAAATAGGTTGTATTCCATGCGAAGAAGTATAGAATTAAAAGGCTAGGATATGATTTAGTTAATGTACAACAGTAGTAGTATTTCCCGAAGATTTATTTCATGTATAAGAAATACATAGTTTTTAAGTGTTTGGATAAAGTGAAACCTACATAGTTTCAAACTTTGGTTTTCAATTTGACTTTTACGCTTTCTGCATCCCACTGAGTGCAAATTTGACCCTGCATTGTAGGGGCATGTAAGGTGAACAGCGTTTGTTGTTTGGCTAGAGTATTAGTGCCCTCAGGAAGAAAAGACTTGCTGAGGATTAGTCTGGTCATGAGGATGTTCTCCTTGATGCTAAACCTGAAATAACTATTTCTGAATTTATAGTCTTGAGTAATCTTGAGTATCATTGTGATTCACTTTAATTCCAGTCTTTACCTTAATTTGTCTTTTCCTTTTTGAGTATTATTTGGGAATTCTAATTAGAATACTAATTTTTCTCAAGCTGTTGTTTTAAAACCATGAATTATAAAATCCAAAATACTCCATTTTTGTTTTAGAATCTGTGGTAGATTTTTGCCATTGCTGAAATTCAGGCGTCATTGTATCTTGCCTAGATTATTGCAATAGCGTCTTAATTTTCTTTCTGCCTTTATTCTGTCTGTCCAAATGCAGTCTTCGTACTTCTGCCGGAATTGATCACGTCCATATTTTTCATAAAATTCTTTGATCTCTTGCCCATAGGATAAAATCTAAACTTATTAGCCTAGTATTCATGTTCATTCATAATCTGTCCATTATTTTATTTTTTTTTAAAGATTTTATTTATTTATCTGAGAGAGAGAATGAGAGAGAGCATGAGAAGGGGGAGGGTCAGAGGGAGAAGCAGACTCCCTGCTGAGCAGGGAGTCCGATGCGGGACTCGATCCCGGGACTCCAGGATCATGACCTGAGCCGAAGGCAGTGGCTTAACCAGCTGAGCCACCCAGGCGCCCCATAATCTGTCCATTATTAATGTAACTCCCTAGCCTCAAGTCCTGCCACTTTCTATTCCCAGGCTCAGGATAGCACATAAATTTCATGTCATGGACTTAACTTCTTGTATTGATTTTGCGTTATCTGTTGAGAAGGAGTTTGAGTTTCATGTGGACTTTAAACGTGTTTTAATTGATTAGTAATGTCTGTCATGGGTGAAGGTAGAAGAGTAGTAAGCACATGTTCCAGAAATGGTTGTCCCTACTTTTGTCACAGGGCTTTGTCACACATGTTCTTGCTTTTGCTCGTTCTGTCCTTGGCCTGAAGTATCCCCATAGCTCATCTTCTCTGAAGATTTTTCGGTTCTCCCTGGCAGACTTATTCCACGCTTCTTGGGTGATACCAGAGCTTTTGTTCCTGTAGCTAGTACAGCAGAGAAAGAGAGATGATTGACTTCTAAATAGGTCTTTTTTCTCAACTAGATCGTCAGCTCTGTGAGACCATGTACATATTTGTCTTTGTTTCCTCAGTTCTCAACATAATGTCTGACACAAAATAGATGTTAAATGTGTCTTGATTTGGGGCGCCTGGGTGGCTCAGTCGTTAAGCGTCTGCCTTCGGCTCAGGTCATGATCCCAGGGTCCTGGCATCAAGCCCCACAATGGGCTCTCTGCTCAGCAGGAAGCCTGCTTCTCCCTCTCCCACTCCCCCTGCTTGTGTTCCCTCTCTTGCTGTCTCTCTCTCTGTCAAATTAAAAAAAAAAAAAAAAATCTTTAAATGTGTCTTGATTTGAAATGAGTATGATTCGTTCTCTTGCCTAAAATAACTGCATTTTCTTTTATTTCTTTAGAAAGAAAATATGTTTGGAAAGTTGGACAATTAAGAATTAGGATTTCTTATTCTGTTTTAGAATATGATTCAACAAAGGTGAAATTGTAAAAGTAATGTATTTTGACTAAGGTCAGAGGAGTTGTTTCTGACCAAAATTATGTCCTTTGATTGGACAGTATTAATTCTTTATGAAATCTACCGAGAAAGTTGACTAATTCTAAATGCCAACCAGTTGCAGAGATGTTCATTCAAAACTGAAAGTATAGAAGAACATAAGCCTTTAGAATTATGCTGAGGACAGTATAATCCTTAAAGAATAAAGGTTATTCTATGCAGAATACTATCAATATAACAGTATCTCTTTTACCTTCCTCATTTTCATATAGGATGGGAATCAGATTTTCCTTTATAGGGTATGTATTTAGTTTAACCAAATCTTGCCAGCCCAGATGTCTTTCAAGTCACAAGTATGGAGAAATTTGGTAGTATTAAATACCTCTTATATATGGCTAATTGTGGTTTTAAACAAGGAAAATCAGGCTATAGGGTAAGAGATGATGAATTGCTATATACTGTAAGCTCTGCATATTCATTGCTCAAACTATATGCCATCCAGTCTCTTGGCGTGTGGCCAGCACATTTTAGTTCTCTTACTTCATATTCTTTGGAGAGGCTGTTATGTAGCCTGATACTACTACCACCAATTTCTAGTTTGGCTACTTAAGCTGTTTGTGAGCTGACCTCACCATACTGCTTTGAGAACTATGATGAAAGTTACAACTGTGGAATGATCTGTCTGAATAGTTTGCAAGTGTTTGTCTTTGCATCTTTCTAGCATGCAAGGAGGGAATAGACATAGTTCGCAAATACTACATGAATGTTTCTTGTATCTTTTTTTTTTTCCTGAAAAGAACCAGTTTATAATGGTTTATGGGGGTTTTCTTCCCTTTTAGTTTGCACACTAGAAAATAAGAGTATTTTTTAAAAATAAGAATTATATTTGAAAGTGTATGTAAAGGACATTTAACCATGCTGGTATTTGAAAGGACCATCATTAGAATAAATGTCAGACTTACTTTTATGAACACTAGGTATGATCCTGACCCTGATGTCAGGTTTATTATTCTATAATTTTAATGTCCTTTTACTTGAGCATTACATAAACTTCTTTTTTCCAAAAGAGACAAATTAAGCTTTTAATTTTTTTAATATGGGAGGAACTTGAGTAGATCAGCCTTTGAGAAGAATGATTAGTGCCTTTTTAAAACTTGAACCCCACTAAAAATAACTTTGTACCATATTTAAACCAATTTAGAGGTATGCCACCATTCTGTGGGTATTTTTTACATTTAAGGAACTAAGAATGAACAATGGTATAAATCTACCAACTAGATAAGTGTCTAGCAATGCAGAAATTGCTGTTTGGGAGCGGTGTTGCTATTTCTACTTGTTGAAGTAATTTGATGGTTGATCTCTAATGGCTGAAAGATCCAGAAGTATAAAACCTAAGATAAATGTGGCACAGGTAGAAAGTAAAAACAGTAGATGTATTCCTGATAGGTAACAAATTAAGATCAACAACAAAAATCTAAACAGTTGAGCAACTTTCCAATTATTTAGGCTGTAGTAATCTGAATTCTTCATGACAGCTTGTTTGAAATGCCCTTTGTTTAAAATACTATGTTGGTTTTGTTGTTATTTTAATTGTTAGTTTGGATGTTGACCTGTAATTTGAATCGTGACATTTATAAAGCCAAGTTGAAATATTTGCTCTTTCTCTGTTTCATTATGTTAAATATTAATAG